TGAATTAATACATTAATTCCTTAATTACAATACTAAAACTACCTCTGTTTTCTTAAGTAGATCTGAAATTGTAGTGATGGTGATATTTCCTCCTCTGATGTCTTCACGAATGTCCGTTTGAGAATTCGCTGTGAATGTAGTCAAAGTTCCATTCTCCCCATCATCCCCTGGATATCTGTCACCCATACATAAACTTTTGAATTAGATTTTTTCAGTGTATACAACCGTTTTTATGCATTATGAAAAAAATTTCCCAAACGTATAGGTTATAAAGTATTCTGCGTACTGTTGGATAAACTCCATCAGCTCGTCTGCGTCTCCATTAAATAACAATTTGCCAGCATCATAACAGGTGGTCACTGATATTGTACCTGAAAAAATATTTTCTGTAAGCACAAAAATAAATTTATTAGCTACTTAAATTGTAATTTCGGTTATGACCTCGGTAGCGCTTAGGCCTACACATTTGCACAATCACATAAATTGCCTCGGTTTTGTGAGCTTCATAGTATTCTAGGAACTGGTTTATGTAGTTATTCCATAGAGTGCATCCCGGTCGGTTCCCCCTGTCAAATAGAAGTCATCAAAGTTAGCTATACTTCTACAGTGTCATCAAATATGTTAAAGCCATGAATCTGTTATGTAATACTTTAGTCACTCAGCATCTTCAAGAGTGAGCTCCATAAGTCTCTCTGATTTACCATTAATGACATGATTTTGAGGGGTACATTTGCTCAAAACCTTTCCAATAACATCTGCCAAAAATAGATCGTTATAAGATTTTATAATTTATATATTTATATATATATATATATATTTATTTATTTACTTATGATTACAAAAATAAACAAATAGAAGGTTACCCATCAGTTGTTTGTCATCAACCACACGCAAGGATTGTATTACTTCAAATTCCTGAAACTCGTACACCGAGTTGGGAATGACCTCTGGTTTTATTTGCTTAACCGTAGTCTTCCCACAAATTTCAATCAAGTAGGCGTGGCTAGTCGCTTTGTAGGTATGGTAGTTATCCGTTACCAAGAAATCTCTTATGACGTAAACCGTATTTTCACTTATCATTGACCTGAACTTCCTCAGTTGTGGCCTCTTGATGACTCCATGAATTTTGTCACCCTGCAAGGAAGATGATTGCCTTAATCAAGCTGAACATTTTTTTGGCACCTCTTTATTACAATTTTACTACATGTGAATCAATAAAAACCATTTCCAAACGTTCTCCTCCCCGAGACTGTGGAGGTAGTTCATAAGCCCTAACAACCTTGACCTTAATAGCTCAGGTTGTTTTGGTGTGGTCAATGTCCCTGAGGAAGGAATACATTCCTTGGTTTTCTGCCATTGGAATTTATGTCGTTTGCAGTGATTGTGCGAGGGTGGAATGCAAAATGAAGAAATTGAGTTACTCTTTTTATACTAAAACTTGGGGAGGACAAAGTTCATATATGACACAAATACCCCATAGGTAATATCCAGTAAATAAACAATCGTAAACCTTTCTATGCAACTTGCATTCAAAATGAATTGTGCTATCCGAAGCATTAAATTCAATTGTACCTTAAGATCCTTTTTGGATTTGTTCTGCGGCCCAAGAGGATTTGAAATACAGATTATTTATTGTAAATCTTTGAGTAGTTGTACTCTACGAATTAAAAAAGTATAAATGAATCTACGTTTGTGTTAAATGACGAAAAAGTTTTGAAAAGACAGGTTGCAACATCCACTTTAATGCTTCAGACCCCACATACTTTACATGCACCTTGCTCGGATGGACCAGCTGACCCGCTCCATTGGATCCGACCCGTATGAACACTGTAGCTTTGGGCGAGAATCTGACCTGGCTTCCCACAACTGTTTGTATATAGAAAGATTGGTGATGTTGTGACAACATCAATTTCGATGTTAATGCCATAAAAATGACATTATAGAACTATCAGGGAAAAAATGAAACAATTTCGGATAAATTCCGCAAGATCAAAGTGTTATCTCGGTGTCAAACATTGTCATTATAAATATTGTCCAAATAGACAATGTCACAATACTATAAACATTGTCAAAATATATAAAAATGTCATAATGACGGGAAATGTTACAATGTCACAAAAATCGCACATTGTCATTATAAACATTGTTAAACAAACAATGTCACAATATTGTAAACATTATTAAAATATAGGGGAAATGTCACAACATCACAAAAAGGAAAAATGCCAAACATTGTCATTATAATTACATTTCTCATCACATTGTCATCATGAGAAACCTATAAGCTACAAAAATATTGTACGTAGTAATATTTACTCCGTACAATACATTGTCAACACTGACATTATTATAAACATCATCATTATAAATATTTACAATACATTGTCAAAAAATGTTATACGTAGTATTTAATACGTAGTATGAAACTATCATTTCGAGAAATAATATCATCGTCACTATCATTATAAATCTATCAAAATTTCATGACATTGTAAAGTTGGTAATGTAATTCATGCCATTGGCTCACACAATACAACGAAATTAATGTTCCAAAAATCAAATCTACTAAAAATATCACAATTAGTGACTGCCGCCTAAGTTACTAATAATATCCACCGCCATCACGATTGGCATTTCAGTTCTAATGACAAATTAAATCCTTAAAAACTCGTCTATTTCAGTTTCTATTGTTGTCACTATTCATTATTAGTGATTATCTAAACTGCCCATATACATTTCTTTACATACTTTCAGCACTATTAAATTGCTACCAATCAATATGATTTTAAAAAATAAAACAGATGTTAAAAATAATGCTCCTGAATCTCTTGAAATTAAAGCTAATGCCCATAAGACACAATATGATTTTACTATGTCAAGTTTCCAATACTTATATCACATAAAGACACATTAGTAAATTAAAATATGCAAGGCTATTTAAAAAACTTTTTCACATTTGTGATTTCTTTTTACTTGTCACTTTTTTGCCTTCTAATACTACATACATTAGTAAGGAAAAAGGGTTAATTAAGTTCTTCTAATCGGTTATCGGCAAATGTAACTCGATCACTAAAATGTAACTCGCGTTGCTCATTCCAGAGGTTATTCTATCACCTTTCATATATGTGATGTAAATTGAGTACATGCAAAATGTAACTTAAGACAAGTCAAAAAGTAAATCGCGTGTATGCAAAATCTAAATTGTTGAGACAAGTCGAAATGTATTAATGTAAATCGCGTTAATGGAAATGTAACATGAGTCAAGTTGAAATGTAAATGACATTAATCGAAATGTATCTTGAGGCCTGTGAAAATGTAAATTTAAGTCATGCATATGGAAATGTAACTCAATGTTTATTTGAATATAACTCCAAAAGTCATGTATATCTAAATGTAACACGCACATATGAACATGTAACTCGTACACATGTAACTGTAACTCTATGTATTATCAAATGTAACTTTAGCAATTTTGTATAAATTAACTCACACATATGAAAATCACACACAAGAAAATGTAATCTCACACATTATCAAATATAAATGGAAATAAACAAACTCAATGTCTTAAAAGCTCACTAAAAACATATCAGTTTCGTCACTTTTTAGTTAGCCGATATTAATTTTTTTCGGTCAATGATGATAAACTGTAATAAATCATTTTATCTCATACTATCTCCGTCCCACTAAGTTTGGGACCATTCAGTTTACAATGCTTGACCGACGATAAAACAAACAGATCCTTGTATGCACTCAAATTATTTTTAGAAAAAAAAATACATATTCAAAAACTACATTAAAAGCATTACATAGTCGCAAAAACCAGAATCAAATTTGATAAAAATTTGATATATAAAGTAAGAGATTAAAAGTGATTTGTGTTAACCAAATAAAATAGTGCCTGAGACAATCTTAGCGGGATGGAGGGAGTATATTTTTGCAAAATTTATAAGTTTTATACTTTTATGATAGTATATCTAAAAAATTATTTTCATATTATAAATACTTTCATATATAAATATATTATCAGTCAAAGTTTAGCATCATATGGAGTATTACATAAAAAATAGTGTCTCAATAATGAATGCAATAATATTTATTTTATTTAGACTAACAATTTTTCGTTATGAAGTGATAAAAAACAAACAAAAAAACTAAATTTAGTCGTAATTTAAGTTGAAGATTAAATAAAATTAAAACCGCAATTAAACTTTTAGTATTTTAATGAAAAGGATAAAAAATTAAAGAAAAGAAAAAGAAGAAGATGTTCATATATAATTTACTTATTTTGAACTCAGAGTGGCCGGGCTTGATCGGGACAGTCGTCTGGCTTAGCCTATCTGAGAGTTTTATAGGTGAATTTTTTTGATGAATTTTTTGAGCATGTTCATTATCAAATCCAGTTTATACATACCAAATTTCAGCTTAAAATTCAATCGAAAAGACAGTTAAATAAATTGCGTAATGTTTTTCAATTACACATTTGGCTAACTTCCCGATTGAATTTATAGCTGAAATTTGATGGACATTAACTATACTTGATGAAGAACATGTTCGTAATGTTTATTAAAAAAAATCCATCGAGAAGGCTCTCAAACGGGCTCGGTTGGACGGCTGGTCCCGTTAAGGAGGCCATCTTTAAACCTGTTTCTTTAAAAAAAAATGACACCCATCCATGAGGCCCCCCAACCCCGACCGGACGGTACATTGGGAGAATGTAAATTGGACTATAATCCCATCAATCTGACAGATAGAGAGTGAGGTTTATCCCGATACTTGCAGTCAACCTTATCACGCCTCTGCCCCCAACCGGTTTCTTTTTTGATTGTAGTGCTGTCCACCGTTTAGCCCATCCCTTATCACGGCCCTCCGCTTTCATATTGAAATTCCCATCTTGTCTTTTCCCCCATCAAATTCAACTTATCTATTCCTATTATATTAAAAAAATACAGAGTATATATACAGAAGACATGGTACCTCTTACCACAACAACCAGTCGTCAGAACCATCACAACTACGTAAATTATATAAAAACCACACACACAAACCAACCAACCAAGCAAACTCAATACACCACCTAACCCTACCCATGAGGCAAAATAGAATTAAATATGGTGTGGGTATAAGTTCCAGAATTCTGTTCAGTCAAACAGAGAGTGGAAACACCCCTTTTCTTTGTTTTGCTCATCTCTCTCTCTGTCTTCTCCCTCTCTCTGAAATCTGGCATCTTCTTAGCTCTTCATGTAAGTCTTCTTCACAAGGACACAAAATCTAAAAGTCAAAGATTTGTGTTCCTTTTGTTATACTTATGTTTCTTTTAATCCACATAATTTCCTATTGTCCACACTGGGCTGTCTGTTCTTGTAGAGAATAGTAGTAGCAGACTAGCAGCTTGATCTTTATCATAATTCAAACTTGTAATTTAAAGAATCCGATTTTTGGTTTTTTTGGGTCCCCTTTTTCTTCATATGAGAAGAGTTCTGCAAGATTCTTGAGGTGCTACTTTTCTCATTCTAACTATCTCTATTAACGTTTCTTTTTGCTTTTCAGCTGGAAGTTTTGTAACTTTTTTTTCAATCATTAAAGAGGAAACTCACTTTTTATCATCCAAAGTAGCTTTTCTTTGAAAAAGATGGACATTTTTGGGGTGGACAGTTCACCAAATGATGGTATATATATGCCCATCAATTATTTTTAATATAGAATCCTTGATCGGTATAGAAGAAATCAGCACAAAAGTTGAGGCTTGAGAGATAAATAAGTAAAAGTGTTGTGTTTTACTTTTTAGTCCGTATTAGAATAATGTATAGGGCTAATGGGGAATAATTATTCATTATTTTGTTCTTTTTTAAGAATAAGTATGTTCTAATTCAGTAGAAAATAAGGAGATGTGATTTATTTTAATAATGAACAAAGCTGATTGACTTTTACCCCGTAGATTGTATTGTAAATTCTGAGATCGAAAGTGATTTTAAGGGTAAATAACCATTGATTATGTGCTTCCAAGCCTTGCACGTGGCTCTTTTTTCACTTTCCGTTCATTTTTAACTACTAAAACTTTACTCTGCAATTAGTGAGTTAATGAAAAACTAAACACTTTACAGGTTATTTATATTTATTTATTTATTTATTTATTTACACACAAACGCTGTGTCTTTACTCTTGATGATGCATGTGATAAATAATAGGATTGGGACCACGCAGTTGTGCTGATTTTCTAGTAAAGTAATTTTGCAGATGTGAGCCTATAAATATTTTTTTATGGTGTGAGTATATGATATCACTAGAGAGACAGACATAGTTTGGGAAAATATTATTTTCCTAGTTTGGATAGATACAGAAAATCTTCCCTCATATATAGTTGGTGGTCTATTCAGATTTGAGTTGCCAGGTTAAATTTTTGTGTCAATTATCTTTATTCAGCTTGTTATTATTTTCTCATCTTAAACCATTGTTTCAGATTTGTTGCAATCCGGCGTTTAGGGGTGGGCATTTCCGTTTGGTTTGGCCCCGAACCTGACTTAAATGGAACCATATGATATTCGGTTTTAATTTGGTAGTAGTTTTTCCAAAGAGCACTAAACTGATATGAAGCGAAGAATGAATAGGACCAGACTATTTTAAAAAAGTCAATAAAACGTCTGCATTTTACTAAATTAAATAATTGAAATGGAAACATAGTTTGATTTTAGTTTAATAATCATCCCCAGCTCTTATCGAATGAAAAAAAAAACAAATCCGAAATGCCCACCCTTACCAGCATTAGTTCTGCAAAATTTACTGCATATGTTAATTAATTTATTTAATTACAAAGACTTTAATACTACCTCCGTAACATTGGAATCTTCACAAATTAAAAGTGGGTGAGATTATGAATAGTGATAGGGGATATAAATTATTGAGGGTATGATAGGAAGATAATAAAATAGTGTGGTGGAATGAAAGATAAATCCAAAAAAAGTGGGTGTAGTAGTGTATTATTTTTAAAATTATTGAGGGTATGATAAGAAGATTTAGAAATGGGAAGATTATTTAGTTAAGGTTAAAAAAGGGAAGTGGGAAGATCTTTACGTTAAGGAGATAGTATGTTTTTCTTGACTCTTGTCTATGTTTTAACCCCTTGTACTATGGTACTATATACTTTAGGACCACCACATCATTTTCAATGTATATGCCAAGTTTGTTCTTTTGTAGTTTTGTTTTACTTCCAACTCCAGAACTATCTTATATTTTTGGAAATAATTGTTTCTATTGAAAGCAGGTTTATGATCATACGTTCAGTTATTGTTTCCTATATCTTCTTTTTTACTAGCCATTTTGTAATTAGACATCATTATATCAACTATTCTAACTAGTGTAACTGGAAATTTAAAACTGCTTCAATTTCTGTTACATAAAAGTTTGCTAATTGAACATTTATCCAATTATAATGTTGACACTGGGCTTGGCTTTTTCCCACAATCTATAGAGTTATTTAATTTCAGACAATTAGTGCTCTTTCCGTGACCACTTATTAGCAGAATTTTTAACAAACAACTTATTTGGTTTGACTAGAGCAGATGTTTTTGTTTTTTGCTTAAGTTGATGAAATGGATGAAAGTGATAAATTTTGCCTCGTTTATTTAGATATTTTCTAATATACATTTTAATCATTCAACAAGTTTAGCAACTTCTGTCAAATCCACCTTTACGAAACAGGTTCATAGTTTGTTGCTTGGTATTAGCATGTTTCCTTTTTTGACCTTTGATTATTCTAGTTTTTTCTAATTTCCCCCTCTATGTGGTGTAGTGTAAGGCTGTGTAGAGTGTGGGGCATGGCTAACAATGGGATGAGAGAAAGGTTGCTGACTAGTTCAGAAGAAGAGAAGCAGGTGGTGGCGGAGGGTGGTGATCTGAAAGCAAGAGTCTATGATGAAACGAAGAAAATATGGAGGGTGGCATTGCCCGGAATACTATCAAGAGTGGCTTCATTTGGGAGCATAGTGGTCACCCAGTCATTTATTGGACACATTAGTGGACTAGACCTTGCTGGCTATGCCCTTGTCCAAACGCTCACCGTTCGCTTCGTCAATGGCATTTTGGTAAGTTAATTTACACTGCAACTTAATTATCTGCAAATTGCATTCATTGATCCATTGCATGTGAAGGAAACTTTTTTTGCTACATTGTTGCACTTAAGGGAGAGCATTTTGATGATATTCAAATCGCTCTTACGTGCTAAAATAAAAATGCTATGAATGGGTAGCTTCTTAATATGACCTTTTTCCTCGCAAAAAAATAAAATGACCTTTTTGCTTTTTTAATCAAAGTGATCCTAACAAGCCCATTCTTCCTATTCTACTCCGTATTATTTTGCAAGAGGTAGAAAAGAAATCAAACTCTTCCAACACAATGTTTTCTCAAGCATTTATCCCAAAACACTATTGTTTTCTGGGAAAATACCTGAAATAGGAGTAAAAACATTTGAGAATTCCAAAATAGGATTGTCATGTTTCTATTCCCTAAATAGGAGTACTTATTACCTGCTTGGAAAATATTGTCATGTTTAAAGTCAAACGTGGTAGTAATTACTCTTATTTAGGGAATAAAATCATGATAGTCCTATTTTGGAATACACAAACGTTTTTACTCCTATTTCTGGCAATTTCCCTTGTTTTTCCTGAAACCACAATGTTTTCAAAAACGGGTTTTGAAACCACACCCTTTTAATTGTTAAAAAACAGGGTTTTCTTTTGTAATCAACATACTCTGTCAAAAATGTTGCGGGACAGTGTCCGCAAATAACAAAACATTTTGCAACCGTGTTTCTCAAGAACATGACAGATGAAAACTTTACATCACCATCATTTATGTTTTTCTTCTTCCAAATATACAGCATTTTTGAATATACTATGAATCTATGGTCATTTCTGGATATCGGAATTAAAAAAGACAGTTTCACAAGATCTATTAAAGTTATGAACATTTACTCCTTTCTGCCACATGTATTTTTATATATATACATATATACTTTTTTAGAAATATAAAAAAAAATATATATGTAGGTAGATGGATAGGTTTTGGTTCAGGTAAGATGTTGATCTTATGAAAAATGACAATAACTCTCATGCATTGAACATGACAACTAAGGGCTCTAAAGATGTGCACAGTACAACAAATATGGCCAACAATGTGATGACATCTTTGTAAATCAACCAAAATTTCATCCACTGCAAACATTATTAGACACATTAAAATCCACTTAAGAATCTCCCTAGTAAATCTGTGTGTGCGTGTCAAATACAGATAGGAATGTCAAGTGCAACTGAAACGCTATGCGGGCAAGCATACGGGGCAGGGCAGTACCACATGATGGGAGTTTACTTACAAAGGTCATGGATAGTTGACTTCATCACCTTGACAGTCTTGCTTCCCCTCTTCATCTTTGCAACCTCAATCTTCAAACTGCTAGGAGAACAAAATGACATTGCCAACTCAGCCGGTTACGTCTCCTACTGGTTCATCCCCTTCATCTACAACTTCGTCTTCAGCCTGACCATACAAATGTTCCTTCAAGCACAACAGAAGAACCAAATCATTGCATGGCTTTCGGTGTTCCAGTTTATGGTGCATGTTCCGCTGTCTTGGCTGTTGGTTTACAAGCTTGACTATGGTGTTCCGGGTGCAATGATAGCGCTTTCTATATCTTCTTGGCTGGTCGTAATCGGCGAGTTTGTATACATATTGGGTGGGTGGTGCCCCGATACATGGAAGGGGTTCACTAGGGCTTCCCTGAAGGATCTTTTTCCCGTTGTGAAGCTCTCCATATCATCTGGGATTATGGTTTGGTAATAAATCCTCTTCTTAGCTAGCTCTCATTTTCTTCTTCTTATATTGCCTGTCAGATTAAATAACTGATCTAATTAAACAGTTTTTTGTTGAAAAAAAAGAAATAGTCAAGTTTGATCAAGTAAAGCTATTTTTATGTGCTTTGTAAATCAAGAGTGCATAAGATTAACATAGTTAAAACAATGTATAAATTTAAGATGTGGAAGTATGATTCGTATTGATTTATGATGGTTATACCTTAACAAAGTTTAAAAGTTATTTATTGGTCAAATATGCATTTTTCGATGGGGAGTAAGAGACAAATATCTAGAAAAGAAATATTCAAATCTATTGGATACAATACATTTATTCATTTTCATTTACCCCAGTGCCGCAAAGGCTCCCACCTACGGTGGGGTAAGGGGGGTCGGATGTACGCAGTCTTACCCCTGTACTAAAGCACAGAGAGACTGTTTCCGGATGACCCATAGTGAAAATCGCGTCCAAGATTGCATGGACTGACTGCTGCTCCATAACAAAGAAGCGCAGACAGTTTAGTGAGCCATTTTGCTTTATTCCATCATAACCTCAAGCCAAAAAATAATGAATCTTTGGCTCCATTGCAAATGATGGAAAATACAATACATTTATTATAGTAAAATATTATTTTTAGATTTTACTAGCTATTTAAAGAAAAAAGTCATGTTTCTAGAGGGTACAACAGTATATTTCTTGGTCCACGCAATGAAGACATGGCATGTTCAAGTAAACTGTTCTCATTTTTTCCCTTGCTTATTTGTGTAGTTGATGAAACGCTGCAACACGTCATTTTTCTTTTATTTTTGCTATTGGCACTGTCACAGTGGGGATGCAGAGCGCTTTAAGCTTATTTCTCTGCGGGCATTATAGAAAGTTCACTTACAAATTAAGCGACTCTTAAAACATGACTCTTTTTTGGGACATTTTTTTGTAAAAACATGGACAGATTTTCCCTGGGATGGTGAGAGTTATATTTGTTAGCGTAAAATACATATTTGGTCCTCCAACTATTTACTTTTTGTGTGTAGCTTGGAGCTGTGGTACAATGCTGTGCTAGTATTGCTAGCAGGGTACATGAAGAATGCTGAGGTTGCTATTTCTGCCTTCTCCATCTGGTAAGCTGGCCACCTTAATGACTACTATACACGGTCTCTATATACTGACTGTATTTATTCATCCACACCTATGCCATTCCTATTCCAATCAATTAAATATATATTCCTGCAGTCTTAATATAAACGGATGGGAATTCATGATAAGCCTGGGCTTCCTTGGCGCGGCTTGGTAAGTTTCACAAACTCAAAACTTTACATTGTCATTTTTTCTCCACTTGCATCAATCAAATGGCGGGAAGTCATTGTTTTCTTGTTGTTTCTTTAATAAAATTTGCAGTGTTCGAATTGCAAATGAACTGGGAAGAGGAGATGCTAAAGCTGTGAAGTTTTCTATTAAAGTCCTCGTCTCTACTTCAGTCTTGATAGGAGCCTTCTTTTGGATTCTCTGTTTGGCGTTTGGCAATAAGCTCGGCTACTTATTTACTAATGAGAAGGAGGTGGCGGATAGTGTCTCCAACCTTTCTATCCTACTCTCCTTCTCTGTGTTGCTCAATAGCATCTATCCAGTGCTCTCAGGCAAGTTCTCAAGTCATCCAGCATAAAACAAATAAAATAAATTAAAACTAATAAGCTCACACTTCAAGATTGGTATGTTCTACAATGTCACTAATATAGTGAGGCCATGCCAAATTATCTCATATCATCAAATAAAAATAAAAATATAGGATAGTCTTTTTATAAGGTCAGCATTTTAATATGAAATCTAATAAGACATGGAGTTTCATGCTAAAAGGTTACCACATAATAAGAGAAGTTGTTTAGAATCTTATATATGTGCTTAATACTTTTTACTTTGCCGGTTGAGACCAATATTTCAATAGAATCTCATGTTTTAATCCCCAGGGGTTTAAGATACAATTCAACTCATCCTTTTTTAAATGCTTGACAAATAATTATTGCATCCAAACAGGTGTGGCAGTAGGAGCAGGTTTGCAAAGCACTGTTGCCTATATAAATTTGGGTTGCTACTATCTGATTGGAATACCTGTTGGGGCTTTGCTGGGATATGTGGCTCATCTTCAAGTCAATGTAAGTCATCCTGGGGGTGTATTGAATATGGATCGTGGTAGACTTTTTTTAATCTGTGGACTTTTAAAAAAGTCAATGGACTTTTAAATCCACGGATAAGTTTATTGACTTTCAAAAAGTCCATAGACTTTTAAATGCGGATCACCATTGCTGGTCGTCGAAATTTTCACCTAGATTGCCGCTACCGATCTGCCCATCCGCCCCATCACCGGAGTTCCCCGTTGTCGTCATCACACTTATCCGCCACCAACAAAATCGATTTGGTTATGCAAGGGAACTAGGGACAATTAATTATATTAATTAATTAATTAAATCAGGGGTGAATATGTTATATTTAGTCCTATTTAAGGAAAATCAAACATATGATCACACTTTAAGAAGAATGCTATGTTTTAGTCCTACCCTGAGTAATTTCCTCTGTATAATACGGAGTATGATAAGAAACAAACAAATAAATAAATAAATAAATGAAACAAATGTAATTCATATAGCAACACAAAGTTCTACAAGAATAAATGAAGCATAAGAATCCAAATTTATTTTTATTAAAAAAACTCAGTTTCAAAAATGCTCAAGAATTTTGGTTATTTTATTAATGAGTAAGAACATTAATCGTTACATAACCGTTACACTCATTGCTACATATGGTACAAGCATAGTTGCAATCGAGTTTATCTTCTTAATAATTGTTTTCTTTTCATTTCTATCTTGTAAAATTTTGTGTACTTATTTACGGTTATATATTTATTAACTTGAAATTATATTTTTATGTGTTAGCGATTTAACGATGAAAGAAAGTAATAGTTAATATATTTATTTTCTTAATGGTTAAGTGACGACGTACCAGAATTGCACTAATGTAATACTATCGATTCTTATACCAGTTCTTCTAGAAACTTCTAGAATCGAACCAATATGGGATTAACGAATCAAGGGAGAATTGATGGGGGTGGGGTGGGGCAAGCTGAAGAAGAAAAAGAACGGAAGGAGGGGTGGGGCGAGCTGGGCTGAAGAAGAAGAAGAAGAAAGATCGAAGGGGAAGGGTGACTTGGCTAAAGAAGAGGAGAGTTGGAGGAGGGGAGGGATGAGGTGGGACGGGATGAAGAATCGATATAAGAAAAGTTCACGGAAATCTTTAGTGAGGAGAAGAGACAATTGAGGAGAATTGATGTACAAAAAATGAGTGAAAAGTCCACGATATTTCATGGTTTTAGAAATCCATAAGAATGAACGGAACTTTGAATATGCCTATGTTGGTGATTTTAGTATCACCAGGTTCATTTTAGTGTAATGGAATTTACAGATTACCAATGGAGTTCAAGTTTAATTTTAGACAAGTTAGGAGGTGCGGAGCGCACACTTGTACGAAATTAAATTTAAACTTGGTTCGATTAAATGGCGGGGGTCAAGGGGGTTGCGCCCCCTTGTGGGGTCCAAGGGGCAGCGCCCTCGTGGGGCTCGGGGCAGCGCCCCGGATCAAAATTTTATTTTATTAAAGAAATAAATATGGAAATTTATTTTCGGATAAACATGTCCATATTAATTATTTAATAGAATGACTTTCTGTTAGAGTAAAACTCTAACTGATTGGCCTTATCTCTTTGGTAATCAGAAGAATTCGAGTTCTACTAAAACTGCTAGTTCGTGGTCTCTATATTGGTGCATCAGTTTTAGACTGTCTCTGAGAGTGATTATCCCCATAATCTAAATTTCGTGTAACCCAGGCATAGGGTCGAAATATTAGATTCGGAAAGTGATCACACGATACTCTGAGAAATCCGCCAGATTTTCTAAAACAGTTTCCCAACTCCCCAGCTTTAACAGCCTAGACTTTTATAGACTTGTAAAAGTCTACATTGAATACACCTAGACTTTTGTAGACTTTTAAAAGTCCACATTGAATACATTTAAACTTTTAAAATCCATGGACTTTTAAAAAATTTACACTAAATCCTAATACAATACACCCCCACGGTCCAATTTTTCTTTATAAGACTGCCTTATTATGATGAGAACCCCATGCTAAGTGCTTTGTGGTGCAAAATGTTTTTCTTTTTTTATCTAAGCAATAAATTTAGTATCTATGTTTCACAATATATCATTGGGTGAACCACACCCAATTTTTCATCAAAATTTTTGTTTGCACCCTCATTTTAAGGTGATTAATATTCTTACTGTAAAGTTTGAAACATATGTTGAAAACGGAAAACTTCAATATAGAAAAGATAATGGGGTTAAACATTAATGATTCAGAATATGGGAGGTGAAAACTGCAAACTCTGATCCTCCTTATATTATTTGATGTCAAAATGGGATTCCACATTCTTTTTTGTATAGGGAATATGGGCTGGAATGATATGTGGAGTGGTCGCTCAAACAGTGGCTTTGTGTTACATGACATGGAGAACAAACTGGGATGAAGAAGTAAGTGAATTTTGAAGTACAAATTAGACGAAATCTCATATTCAGCTTTCAACTGTCTTAAACCTAGCTTAGTCGAGCCGTGTTTGTAACTCCAATATGTGTTACGTACAGGTGTCCAAGTCCCAGGCACGACTCAAGCGTTGGTACTTGAAATCTTCTGACGTATCGAACAGCAAGAATCCTGAGTTAGCTTAAGGTTTCTCTTTTGTGGGGGAATGGATGATAAGCAGTTGCTAATATGGGGATGTGATTTCCTGGAGAAGGTAGCTCTGATTTAACAGTTCATTCATCTGCATTGACACGAGTTGCTCTTGTGAGTTTTGTTGCACTGATCAAGTGTAGTTTTGCTGCCACCATACTTTTTGTTTCTATCTGCAATAGTGCAATGGAACATGGGAAGCATTTTTGTTGTTGAGAATATATTGTTGCAGTTTCAAGTTGTGAACGTTGCTAATCTTCAACTGAGCCAATAATCCATGTGATATAATATTTCAAATAATTTTTCTCTATACATTTGTTTTTATTTGGAAGAAAGCCAGAAGAAGTTTCGCTCCCCAGTCACCACAAAGAAAAACGAAAGGTGATATTCCTGACTCCTGAGGCTACTAAAGTGGAAAAAAAAAATCGATGTACTTTGGTGAGGGAATAGAAGTATAAAACCACTACAAGAATAATAATCCAATGACTAAAATTGGATATGCAAATAATAGAGGGGCCAAATATGCAAACCCCTTTATTTGAGGGACTAAGACCTTCATAAACTTGTTATTTACTCTCATTTCTTTGCATGCTCCGCGTACAGAAATTCATACACAATAATTATCTGTATTACTGTGTGCATAGGATGTAATTACAGTTGTATTGGAAGACCAAATTGGATCATCTTGTCAATAGATTAAATGCAGGCATATCCTTTATGCTGGAGATGTCTTCGAGTGCGAGCTCGCGCTCTAGTTGGGTTCTGGTAGACTTTAGGACATCCTGGCAAAATGTAAAACCATTATAATAACAACAATAGTAAAAATAACAATGATTATATGTAAGTGTTGCCTATCAACAATGAAGAAACTCCCTTAATCCTTACATTAAACTCCATGTATGAGGCCCGCTTTGCAAGCCACTGTGCATCTAGCATTTCAAAGGCAACACAAAAGAGGTTGTCGAAAGCCCTTTCATCAAGGCTGAGTAAATTTAGAAAGCGTATGGCTGGTAGTGTGCTTGGAATCCCTGCTAGTATTGGATACAATCAGAAGAAATAAATAAAAGATGTGTTTAAAATACATAAAGAAACAAATAAATCCGTAGACATATTAAAGATTGCAATTCCATTTCACCAAAGTTTCTGGCCTAGAGGTCACAACTCACAAGTTCAATCCAAGGGGTTGAAGTTCTTTACTTGCTTTATATGCACAAAAAAATAATTCATCTTTCATCCGTAATTGTGCATGAAGCAAGGGGTTGAATTTCTTTACTTATTTTATATGCACAAAAAAATAATTAATCTTTAATCCGTAATTGTGCATGAAGCAAGGGGTTGAATTTCTTTACTTATTTTATATGCACAAAAAAGTAATTTCCTTGATCCATAACTGTGCGTGAAGGTAAGTTAAATTAAGAAAGAATGACTAAAATAAGATCGTGGACTTTAAAGTGGACAAAAATAGAACCTACCTTCGGCCCATTCTATTATACGATCCATCTCCCATCCCCATCTACGGCTCTTCTCCATTTTCTCAGACCTAAGCACCTATTGCAGAGTTGCGAGGTGAACTGCGAGGCGAGCAGCGCCTCTGCTAAGCGAGCGTCGATTGCGAGGTGCTGGAGAGCGGCGATTGCCAGCTGCTGGCGAGCGGAGAAAAGCTATGGTGAGCAACAACTGCGATGGCGACGGCGAGCGTCACCCATATTGGAATCAACGGACTGCCTAGTTCGTCGTGGAGCGTGTGGGCTAAATCTGGAGGACTAGGGTTGTGGGGTGGTGGTCCGGCGGTGTGGAAGGGTGGCTGGGCTTGGGATCGTGCGCTGAAGATGTGGATGGCTGTTGAAAGGGGGCTGTGAAAGGTGCAGGGGGTGGGGGATAGGGTTGGGGAGTGGCTGGGACAGGGGAGGGGCTGAGGAGGACACAGTCAGGGTGGTGGCAGACTGGCAGTGGTCACTGGGATGAACGGTGGAGATCACTAGTTGACTTGGACAATGGTCGTGATTGTCACTGGTTGGGTTAGTCAGCGGTAAAATTGGTCCTGGTCATTGGTTGGGCAGGTTGGTTACTTGTAAAATTGGTCATGGTCACTGGTCGGGTTGGTCACTGGTCAGATGGGTCATGGTCACTGGTCGGGTTGGTCACTGGTCAGATGGGTTATGGTCACTGGTCGGGTCGGTCATTGGTTGAATTAGTCATTGCTTGAATTGGTCATGGGTAGCAGTTTAGTCACATTTTTGGAATTTTCAAAAGTGATCTTATATTTGTCCATGACATTTATTTTTGTATTATTAATGGACAAACCCTTTCAATTAATTCCTACTCCCTCCGTCCCAGAATTTACTTCCAAGTTGTGTGGTGGAGAGTTGTCCATGAGTCACTGTGATTTACTCCCCCACCATCCTGTCGGGTCGGGGTGGGGGGCCCTTGGGGTTGGGGATTCAACCTTTTGGACGGAGAGTTGTGTAGAGGAGAGAGAAATGTGTAAGAATTGCTGTGAACCATAAATTCTTTGCCAAAAAGGGAAAGAGAAGTTCTTTTTGGGACAAATGTAAAGAGAAAGTTGGAAGTAAATTATGGGACGGAGAGAGTATAAAAGATACTCCCTCCATCCTATATCTTTCTTCAAATTTGATGTTGTGACATAAATATTTAAGAAATATAAATGTGGTCAAAGGCGGATCAATGCAGGGGGCTGGAGTGAGCCTAGTCCAATTTTTTTATTAGTGCATGTATAAGATTAATGTCCAGTCCACCCTAAAATTAAAGTCTAACCCAGCCCAATTTTATTCCACCCGAAGTCCGAACTGCGGCCTCCCTACCTGGCACAATCAAGCAGGGGCGGATCTAGAAAGTTACAATGAGAAGGACTAAGAACTAAAATTTGAAGACATACATAATAATACGTCAACACTCTAAATATTTATCAAAACATCATTTAAGTTGTGTCGTATGTGATTTCGTCGAAGTATACAATAATAGAATCTACTCTATATTATTGACAAAATCTCATTCAATGTAGATCATCAACGAATTTTCAAGAAAATCATCTCCCATTTTGTTCCAAAAACGCTCTTTCCGTATTAACAGTAGAAATAGGTAGGGTCAAAACAAGACGAATTAATCTTGTCAGAATAACATAAACTTCTGATTTCCCGCTCTCAAACAAATATTGACATTTTTTAACAAGTGTCAAAACTTGAGATGTTGAAACAATACGATGTTTGTAATGAATCAACTCAAACTCAAGTGAGACAATGTCTTGATAACCGAAAGCTACAGGATAAAACTTTTGTGCAAGCCTGCAAATATCCAAATATCCTCACTGTTAAATGAGTTGAAAGAGTTCTTGGAATCCAAAGCAAGACTAAGTTGAAGAATTTCTATAAATGTATCATCACAGTGCGTGAGACTCAGACAAAGTAAAGTCAATCACTTCATCGAAGACATCAAAATTATAATGATGTTCTATAGAAGGTTGAAAACGAGAATGCCGAATCTTATATGGATTATCTAAATTTGAAACGTCAATATCATTTGAAGAGCAAAAACTCTTCTTTTCTTTTAAAAGCTTCCTACCAACCAAATGTTTTTAACGATGAAAGGATAGTTTTAGTACTATCAACAAATGTAATAGCACCCAAAATATCAAGAGTTTTTCTTTGAAGAATTTTGGCAGAGTATAAGTTATTCTCATAAGTTTATGCATCAAGTGTAAGACAGATATGAATTCAAAGCTTGTCATTTTTCTATAGGTCGCGAGAACTTCAACTTTAGATCGTTCATTTGGATAGTTGTCAACCAAATATTCAAACACTTTGCAAGTTGCGACATACATGTCTATCAAACTCTTCACGGAGTTATAGTGAGAACTTCAACGAGTAGATCCTATTCGTTGCAAATTACCAATTTTACACCATGTCCCAAATCATGCATCCCGGTAACTAATAACTTCTCAATTTCACTTCCTTAAGACACAGGCAAATCCGAAACCCACTTTGGTGAAGATGTGATAATATGAACAGTATTATCCAAGTGAGAGAAAAATTCTCAAATTAAACTAACATCCTTAGATACAGAAATCAACGTAAATTGTAGGAGATATATCTGAAGGTCATCCATGAACCTCGCATATCACTCCCACCATCATACATTTGGTCTCTCATTTTTTAAACTTAAAAATCATAATGATCAAGCACGTCGCATATATTATCTTTCAAGGTTGTTATTATAGTGTTACCAACACTTCTGATGTCAAAGAAACTTTCTCTAAGAACTCCACAATTGTTTACCAACCTTAAAATAATAGTCATCTGCTCTTGTTTAGATATATCTTGTGCTTCATCAACAAGAATGCAGAAACAATTATTTGCATTTCTTCACGAACCATTAAACGAACTCTATTGGCCATTGCTTAGTACATTATAAAACTAATAAGTAAAAAATAATCGTTCTACATAAAACAATGAATGTAATATGCATAAGGACAGTCGTTGTGCAACTTGTAAAACACATCGAACTCTACTTGTACCTTAAAAATGTCCAGTATATTGCTCCCGAGATTCAAAAGAAGATCTTGAATATAACGGCAAATAGAGTTCATCAAATGGTTCGTGAAGAAATTGCAAATAGTTATTTTTGCATTCTTGTTGATGAAGCACAATATATATCTAAGCAAGAGCAGATGAACATTATTTTAGGTTTGTGAAGATTTGTGAAGTTTTTATTGAGCGTTTCTTTGTCATCAGAAGTGTCGGTGACACTATAGCCACAATCGCACAAAGTAATATATGTGATGTGCTTGGTCACATGATTTACAAGTTTCAAAAATGAGAGGCGAAGAGTATGATGATGAGAGTAATATGTGAGGTTCACGCAATGTCCTTCGGGTACTATTTCGTAGAGACTATCATTAATCATATTACTATTGTTTTGCACATCGCTTATAACTTGCGTTGGTTTTCACAACTAAGAATGTTAGTTTAACATGAAAATTTTCTCTCACTTAATTAATATTGTTAATATTATCACTTCCTCACCAAAGCGGGTTTTGTAGTTGCACGTGTCTCAAAGAAATGAAATTGAGAAGCTCCGGGGAGAGTGTTTTGGGATGTGGTGCAAATCAAATTAGTAATTTGCAACTATCAAGATCTACTCATTGGGGTTCTCACTATAACTCCATGAAGAGTTTGATAGACATGTATGCCGCAATTTGCAGAGTGCTTGAACATTTGGTTAAAAACTCTCCAAATGGACGATCTAAAGATGAAGTTCTCGAAACCTACAAACAGATGGCAAGCTTTGAATTTCGTGTTTGTCTTGCACTTGATGCATAAACTTCTGAGAATAACTTGTGCTCTTTGTCAAGTTCTTCAAAGATAAACTTTTGATATTTTGAGTTTTATTACATTTGTTGGTATTACTAAAACTACCTTTTGAAAGTTAAAGGCATTTGGTTGAGCGTTTCTTAAAATGTCTGTTCTTAAAGAAGAAAAGAGTTTTTTGTCTTTCAAATGATATTGATGTCCCAAATTTAGATGATCCATATAAGAATGGGTGTTCTCGTTTCCAACCTACAATAGAACATTATTATTATTTTGATGTCTTTAATAAAGCGTTTGCCTTTACTTTAACTGAGTTAGACACGCGCTTTAATGATACATCATGGAACTTCTTCAACAATGTCTTGCTTGGGATCCCAAGAACTCTTTCAGCTCATTTAATAGTGAGGATATTTGCAAATAGGGATGACAATTTAACCCGACCCAATGGATACTGTCACAGACTTATTCTCGAACCCGTGCGGCACTAGCAACACTCACTCAAACTATGCTAGTCAGCCTAACTCTTGCGGAAACTAGGACACCGATTGTGGAGAAACTTGTATAAAGGCTTTATTGCTCTCAAGCTTTCGATGATACAAATGAGCCAGCCATGAGGGATATTTATACTTGCCCTCCTCCTCAATGGATGGCTTAGATCTACTTGATCTAACGGCTACTATTCAATTCTAGAGTATTCTATACAACTC